TCCTCGGAGATTCAACTAGAATGCCTTCCACACCTGTAGCTATCTGTTGCAATACAAATGCCATAATAGTTGGTTCAATTCGCCCTACTAAAGTGGAACCATAAATTAAAAATAGCATTTTCTTGAGATGTCGTAGATTAGAGGGAGCGTAAATAAAGCTCTTCTCACCTTGCCGGATTGAATATTCTTGTCTTCGCCCTTACCAGACATCGAGCCCTGTACCATCACCTTGGTCTTAACAGCATTGGCGACGGCCAGAAATGGAACACAAGACAGAACGACAAGAGCCAGCTTCCAACCATAGAACAAAGCAAAGACAGTGGACGCAATAATTGTACTCAAAGACGCCACAATACTGGAGACTCGACTTCCTGTAGCCTGCAGAACAAAAACAAACAAGAAAAACATGCTGTTTTTAACTTCATAATGGGCCATTTGCGCGATGGTGTCATTCTACTACTATTACCAGAATCCTTCAGGGTTTTCCTTTCTTGTGAAAATCATGGCTTTTGTAATTTAAACATCACTGGGATTAAAAAATTTAAATATGAAAGAAAGAACGAATTAAATCCCGGTCTTAGTAATAAAAAGGCCTTTCCACCATAAGGGGTTACAGGGGATTACAAGGGGTTACAAGGGGTTACAGGGGGTTACAAGGGGTTACAGGGAGTTACAAGGGGTTACAAAGAATTACAAAGGGTTACAAGAGACTACAGGGGGTTACAAGGGATTACATGGGGTTAAAGGGGGTTACAGGGGATTTCAGAGGGTTGCAAGGGGTCTCAGCGGGTTACAGGGGATTACAGAGGGATTACAAAAAAAGTTTTTTTTTTCTAGCTAGAACGTCCAAAGACACTTTTTCTTCCTACATTTTGAAAAAAAATTGAACGTTGAAGATATATTAATTTTCTTCACGAAAATAATGGAGTAACCGCTTCAGAAAAAGGCAAACGTGTGTTCTTTAAAAACTCTTGAGAGCCTTGTTTACAATCTAGAACGCCAGCAAACACTTTTTCTCTATGTATTTTCCTTAAACAAAAAAGATGAAAAAACTACAACATTTTGACCAAAATCAGAAACTAACCCCTTAAGAAAAATGCTAATTTGGGGTTTTCTTAATCTATTGTCTGAAAAGTCTTGTTTTCTAACAAGAACGTCACGAAATACTTTTCCTCAGTGTATTTTGCATAAAAGGAAAAGTTGACAAAATCTCTATTTTTTGACGAAAACCAAGGACTAACCTCCTCAGAAAAATGCAAATTCTGCGACTTTATTAAACCGATGTTTTCATAGTTTCACGATCTATTATCACGTTCCATAACAAGGGGATTTAGGGGTAACAAGTGGTTAAGGGGATTACAAGAGCTTACAGGGGTTTACAAGGGGTAACAGGAGGTTCCAAGGGGTTACAGTGGGTTACAAGGGGCTACAGAGGGTTACAAGGGGTACCAGGGGGTTGCAAGGGGTTACAGGGGGTTGCAAGAGGTTACAGGGGGTTACAAGGGGTTACAGAGGGTTACAAGGGGTTACAGGGGATTACAAGGGGTTACAGGGGGTTACAAAGGGGTACCAGGGATTACAGGGGGCTACAAGGGGTTACAGAGGGTTACAAGGGGTTACAAGGAGCTACAGGGGTTACAAGGGGTTACAAGGGGTTACAGGGGATTACAAGGGGTTACAGGGGGTTGCAAGAGGTTACAGGGGGTTACAAGGGGTTACAGAGAGGGTTACAGGGGATTACAAGGGGTTACAGGGGGTTACAAAGGGGTACCAGGGATTACAGGGGGTTACAAGGGGATACAGAGGGTTACAAGGGGTTACAGAGGGTTACAAGGGGTTACAGGGGGTTGCAAGAGGTTACAGGGGGTTACAAGGGCTTACAGAGGGTTACAAGGGGTCTCAGCGGGTTACAAGGGGTTACAGAGGGGTTACAGAAAAACTTGGTTCCTAGCTAGAACGTCCAAAGACACTGTTTCTTCGTTTATTTTGAAAAAAAGATTTAAAGTTGAAGACATTAATTTTCTTGATGAAAATGATGGAGTAACCCCTTTGGAAAAAGGAAAATGTTGCGTTTTTCATTATGAGATGTTCTAAAAGTCTTAAAAGCTTTCTTTCGCGATCTATTTTTGATAAACGCAACGATGAAAAAACTCACTTTAACTCCTTTCGAAAAATGAAAATTCTGTGTTTTTTTTTAAGCTGATGTTTTCATAGTGCAGAAACGCTTGTTTTCTATATAAAAAAATCTCAATTTTTTCAACCAAAAGCCTGGACTACCCTCTTCGGAAAAATGCAAATTCTGCCGCTTTTTACACTGATGCTTTCTCTATAAAACGTAAAAAATCGTTGTTTTTTTTTCACGATCTATTATCACGTTCTATTACATGGGGATCCAGGGGTTATAAGGGGTTACAGGGGGCTACAAGAGGTTGCAGAGGGTTACAAGGGGTTTACAGAGGGTTACAAGGGGTCAAGAGAGGTTACAGGGGGTTACTAGGGGTTACAGAGGGTTACAAGGGGTTACAGAAGGTTACAAGGGGTTACAGGGGGCTAAAGAGGGTTACAAGGGGTTACAGGGGATTACAAGAGGTTACAGGGGGTTACAAGGGGTTACAGGGGTNAGAGGTTGCAGAGGGTTACAAGGGGTTTACAGAGGGTTACAAGGGGTCAAGAGAGGTTACAGGGGGTTACTAGGGGTTACAGAGGGTTACAAGGGGTTACAGAAGGTTACAAGGGGTTACAGGGGGCTAAAGAGGGTTACAAGGGGTTACAGGGGATTACAAGAGGTTACAGGGGGTTACAAGGGGTTACAGGGGTTACAAGGGGTTACAGGGGGTTACAAGGGGTTACAGGGGGTTACAGAGGGTTACAAGAGGTTACAGAGGGGTTACAGAGGGGTTACAGGTTACAGGTTCCATATAAGTTCAACTAAGGTATATGAGCTGATAACCGAGAGTGAGGGAACCAATCAGAATGCTAGAAATGCATTATCTGAAGTTTAAAATTTAATAAATGGGGTTACAACGCGTTACAAGGGGTTACAGGGGCCGGCTTACAGCGGGTTACAAATGGTTACAGGGGGTTACACGGGGTTACAGAGGGTTACAAAGGGTTACAGGGGGTTACAAGGACGAGCCATTTATTTTAGTTAAGACATTTATGAACATTTCATAAGCGCTTTAAGTTTAAGCTTTCACATCCGTGCTGAGCGGATAAGAGATTCCTTCGAAAAAACACAGACGGTCTGCTGTCTACCTACCCCTTTGACATCCGAGGCATGTGTTGAAAGGGCTGTCGTTAGAGCTCCTGTACTATGCAGTGGGTCATCAAAATATGACATATCCTATTGAAAAAGATGGATGAAGAATCAAGAGTTTATAGACACCTTCACTGTTGCTGCTACCAAGTACCAGCTTAACCGACGTTTACCGATAAAGAGGACTGTAACTCTCGAAATTTACTTCCCTTACTGTTTCAGTCTGTTACAATGCGCTCACAACAGTGCTTAAAGCACCTGACAGAGATAAGATCAAATCGATTGACTGACCTGTCTTAAAATTGCTTGAAACGCCATCTTCCTCAGCCGTAAAGTAAGCAACTCCCCAGATTTGGCAAACATTACGGTCTTTAGAAAAAAAGGTTTAAAACAGAATTATTCATCTAAAAGGCTCCAGCCAAAAACTAAATGAGTATGAATTGATCCCTTAGTTTAGAAGTTATCTTTCTGAAGTAAAGAAAGCTAGAACAATACTTGACCTGGATAAAATGTGTAAAAAAACTTGTAACACCGACAGCAACATACATGAGAGACCAGAACTCGGATTCCTTTTTAATCTTCTGTGCATCTCGAGACGTGAAGACCTTAAAAAGGAACAGAACAAGAATATGCAGAAATTAGTCAACGGTCAAAGCTTTCAAATTATGTTTCTGTCAACTGGCAATCCGTGCAGTCGGTAACTTAGCTCTGAGCAACTTACTTTCACTTACAAAGATAACCCATATTATTGAAGTTAATTTAAAACTCACCCGAACAAGTTTTGTTTGGAGTACCAATCGAAAAAACAAATCTGTTGGACGCACACCCTGTAAATTGTAGTTTGAAATTTGTTTACCCACAAAGCCCTTATGAGTTCTTATGAACTCGTTTAAACGTCTCCGTGCGTTCCAGATCGAATTGGAATTTGGAAGTGTTCATTTTTTAGGAGAGAGGAAAACCGGAGTACACGGTGACAAACCTCTTGGGGCGAGGGAGAGAACCAACAACAAACTCAACCCACATATAGCTTTGACGCCGGGATTTGAACCCGGGCCAAATTTGTGAGAGGTGAGAGCTCTCACCACAGCACCACCTTTGCTTCCTCCCACACCATGTACACATGCTCATCTGGAGTACACGTATTATATATAAAAATGTTCCACTTGAGTAAATCAGAAGAACAGAAAATTCAAATTCTTGATCCCATGGAATCCGGATTACTACTAAGTGACTTTTAGTTTGGCCATTTTTGTCAAATCAACAGCCATCGCCATAACGCAGTCAAACAGAACCAACGTAGTTACAAATCAAATATTATGACCAAGACAACAAATGATGCCACACATATTATCATCCACGGGAACCCATTAACTGGCGTGTAAAAAAAATGTCTAACGAACACTTCCATCATCAAGTCGAATATTTATAATATATCTTAGTCTGAAATGTCATCTGTCTCTTCACCCCATCCCACCCCCCCCCCCCCCCCCCCCCCGCC